GACAACATAATTATGTGCAAGGAGAAACAAAACATTAAAAATTCAGCTTGCAAGTGGGCCAGATTTACTCTTGAGACCTTTGTTTGATGTAGTTGGATTCGCATCAACCTACATGTGTTGAGGTGAAATTTAATTTAAGTTCCACTCCACATGTGGATTAAAGTGAATCTGACAACATCCAAATAAGGCTTGACGTGGATCCGCAACCCACACCAAGTAACAAGATGCATTTCTCTTTTTTTTTCCTCTTACACGACATTTTTTTTATTCTTAGATTTTGCATGAGCATGCATTTTCGCATCATCTATCCATCCATATTTTATTGAAATTTTCAAACACTTTTTAATGTATTTTTTTAAATAGGAGCATGGGAGCACCTAATGAAGTGGAAGCACCGGATACATTCCCATTCTTACTTGTTAGTTTGAAAATTAAAAATAAGGCACAAACCGACAAACCATGAGGCGATATCTTCAATTGGTCTCTTTTTAGATAAAAGATTTCCTTTGCTTATATAGAATAAAGGAAATTCATACCATGTGTATTCTAGGCGTGCCTGACATAAACCTCACGAACTTTACTAAGATTAGGTAAACAACCATCCTCTAGCACAGATTATTACATTTAGAATTTGACTCAGCTCTAAGGGTGTGTTTGGATTCAATCCTGGATGACCTTTTTTGGGAGAATTAAGAGAAGTGAAAGGCTGAAAACTATCTGTCAAGTTGCATTTTTCACCTAGTCAGCATATAAGAGGTATATCATTGTTTGTCTGGTGACTTTGCTTAAGGAAGTGTCGAAAAGAAAGTTGGAAATATAATCGTGAGTCTGACATACAATATGTTTGGTTTCTTATCATTAATTCAGCTATACACAAGTAATTATAGAGAATCTTTTCCGGCAATATCATTCTACATCAAGGCAACCGTTTTTGAACGCCTTGACCTGGCAGTTGTTGCCTGATACATGATCTTCTTCATTAGACAAATTAATGCTTTCAGCAGTCCCCACTAGCGCAAACTAGAGGTTCTTCAATCTTTCGAAGACATTTCTCCGTTCTCATCACATAAAAGGGCAAAAACCAGGGATACATTATTCATGGATATCTGGTGCACACTATATATATGCTGCAATCTTTTTCATAATGAAACCTTACTTTTGCTAGTAAACACGTTAACCAACACTTTCTTTTTCATAAAAACCGTGTATATGGTGTTTCAAAAAAATAAAAATCGTGCATATGAGTGTTAAGGCCGATTGTAGTTTGAAAGAAATCTATTTTTAACCATCAAACTATCACCAGAGTTTGGTTTTGTCAATAGAACTAAAAAACCAGAAACCTTAGACCATCTAATCATTAAAGTCATTCACATTTGTCCATCTAAGTTGTTTTGATGGTGATTTTGGTGAACATGAGTGACACGTGGCAGCAGGCCCATATGTCAGCGGTTAGCATTATCTCGCCCCTCTATCTGCCCAACCATGCCCGCCCCTACCGCGGCCGTGCATCAGCAAAATCCTGACCCCTCCATCTCTGATTAGTTGTCCTTGTACGTCGCTCGGGCCTCCACATCACCTTTCATGTGGGATTTTGCAAGCCCGCATGAACCCTAGGTGCGGGTCAGATTGTTGTCGCGAGGAGCATTTGATCTGCCACTGTGAGGGTGTCTCTGATCTCATCTTGTTTTGCCCATGACGTGGGACCGAACAAAGATTGGCCATTGTGTCTGCATTGCCCGATTAAGGAGGCACTCATCGAGGAGCCGCCACCGCCTTCAACTCCTTCGCATGCAACCGGTTGCTCGTCGGCTCTATGTTCTTTATCAAGGGGTGGCACACAGCTAAATATGATTAGCAAGTCACAAAAAAAAAACAGCTAAATATGATTGATTTTAATAGTTGGATGGTCTGAAATTTCTGGGTTTTAAGCTCCATGGTCAAAATCAAACTCTGACGATAATTGCATTGGATGATCAAAAACAAACTTTTGCATTGTAGTTTACAGTTCTTTTTCTTTCATTATGAGGTCTACTTGACTAGCAAAAAGCTTGCCAGTCCAGTTAATGGCGATCCAACTGAACCCTGTCAATTCGCTCTTTTTATCCACAGACGATAATCTAGCATATCCTATATAATCAAACGCCATGTGATCTTGTCTATTTCTCTGAGATGCAAGCCGATCGCTACGAAAGTGACATATTTAGAGCGTAACGAAAAAGAACGGAAAGTAACGCAAAGCAATCACTCGCTCGAGTTGGCTTTTCCCGTTCACGGATCGATCGCTCGTGGGCTTAAGCAATATATCAGCTCTCGTCACCTTTTGCCCACTACGCGCGTAATCCTTTTTCTTTACCTGCCACACGCGCAGCCTAACAGAGACGAGTTTTTTTTTAAGAACATGTCTAGCCAACAACCGTACGTTTTAACCTCCTACAACAATCATAGCTATATTTACATCTTCTTATTACTATATTTACAATGATTTCTTCAGTGTAATTTGTTGAATAAAGTGATGTAATTTGGAATAACACAAATATATGTTATTTTTTTCAAAAAAAATTTACAAATTATTTCTATGGATTCCAGACATCAGAGAAATATATGTCAAATTATTCACAAATTTCAAAAAAAATACAAATTGTTCCAAATTACGGTGGGACCCACCCTCCCGTCCCTTCCCTTCCTAGCGGAACAACCAGCGATAACAGAGGGCTCCGTGTCATCAATCCCAGCGGCAAGGATGGCCGGCTCCGCGTCCGCCGTCGTCGGGTTCTTCTCGTCCGGAAGGCAACTGCCCCGTCATCTTCGCTGTGCCGGTCGTGGCGGCGAGCTGTGTGGCACCTGTGCTGGGGGCAGCGGCGGAGGGAGGCCGAAGCTCTGCTGGAGGCGGCTAGAGGCCAGAGCTCTGCTGGAAGCGGCTGGAGCACGGAGCTTTGCTGGAGGCGGCGGCAAGAGCCAGTGGCGGAGGGAGCGGCAAAACGGATCGCGAACTAGAGAGCGAGATCGAACCAGACAGCGAGATCGACGGCCATAAATCCAGTTGTTTGGAAGCTCCAAAACAACCAATTGAGCATTAGCAAATCTGATTTTTAAAGTCAACTTGTTGGGTTTTGAACAACCAATATATATTTACCATATTCGCTTGAGCTTATTCAGAACTACTTTTCAGCCATGAAATAATATTTTTCTCTTATAATATTTCAATATAAACCAAATTTCAGCATCAGTGAACAGGATGATTTATAGTCACTCTATTTTTATGAGATCTTAAAATTGCACTACTAGAAACTCGAATTGTCCTGTGGGTGACGAATTTTCCTGTGCGTTTTTTTTCGGTGCGCACAGAAAAATTACGATTATTCTATCGGTTCTAAAATATCCCGACAGAAAAATGTGAAAACCCACAGAATAATTGTATCATTTTCTGTGCGTGACAATACACACAGAAAAAATCAACACTCACAGAAAAATAAAATTTATTCTGTCGATTCTTTAAAACACAAAGAAAAATATATGCAAGCTTAGGAAAAATGTTATTATTCTGTCTGTTGTTTTAAAACGCACAGAAAAAACATACACACGCACATAAAAATTCAAATGACCACTAGGATTTGGCGTTCGCGCTCTCCGTTTTGGCGTTCGCGCTTTCCATTTCGGCGTTTGCGCATTCTCGTGAAAAGAAAATACTTTAATTAATAAAATAAATAAAAAACACAAAGAAATCCTAACCCTAACCCTTCGGCTGCTGCCCCCAAACACCCTCGCACGCTCGCACTCGTGGACTTGCCCGCTCGGCTCCTCACGCACGCACGCACATGCTGCGCCGCCGCTGCAGCTACACACGCACGCCCATCCCGCCGCTGCAGCAGCTCCGCACCCATGCCGTCCGCCGCAACCAGGTCGGCAGCCTCTAGATCTGCGCCTCCGTAAGCTCCCCGTTGGCCGCCGCCACCGATTTGGCGCCCTCCCTCTCCCGAATCCGTCGGCCGCTGGGTGCTGGCCGTTGGGTGCTAGCCGCTGGCCGCCAGTGCTCTAGGGCGCGTCCTCAGACCCTCCTCTCCCTGTCGGTCTCCCCCGACCCTGCTCTTCCATCCTCCAGATCTGGCCACCAGTGCACTGCACTTCGGTCAAGGTACGCTTCTCTCTTCACTGATTCTATTTTTTGTATGAGATTTCGGTTTATCTGGGTGTCCACTTGTATGAATTTTCAGTTGAAGTCTGCTTTCCTCAAGATTTGGTCACCGGTGCTGTCTGCTTCAAATCTGAATCGAGTTTTCCTTGTCTATTTAGAGTATCTATGGTTCTTATTGATATTTTCATGACATGTACTTGTTCAGTACCTATAGGCAGCATATCAGCCATAGTGGCCTCACTAATAGCATGAAATTTTTTTACTACAAATTCTAATCTCATGTCCCTAGTGTACCGCTTTAAAGATTTTGGGCTAAGCAAGGACCGAAGGTTCCTTTTGGAGGTAGACAGTGAAGAGTTGTTGAGTACCTATGAGACTCAAGGTACACTTCTTTCTTCACTAGTTTTATTTGTTGTATGATGATGTTGTTATTCTACATTTTATTTGTGTGCCCACTTGTCTGAGTTTGGAATGTCTGTCCTTGCACCAAAAATAATTGAGCTTCCTTTGTTGTGATATATAATATATTAATATTTGAAACAGAACTAGTTAATATGTCAAACCGAACATGGATGTATAATGGTTGGCAACGTGGCAAAGCTCCCTCAAATGAATGGATTGATGGAACCAATGAATTATTGAATAGTGCATTTTCAATTCTTGGTGTAGCTGAAAATGATACTATTAAGTGTCCTTGTGCACAATGTCGAAACTACTTTAGGCATATAAGATAGACTATAGAGATGCATTTGTGTAGGCATCGTTTTAAGGAAGGCTATGAAACTTGGACCGAGCATGGTGAGGGCTGATTTCACATGATGGATATGATGGTGTGGGAAATAGAGAGGGCACTGATGAAGTTGATCAGATGGATCAAATGTTGGTTGACCTTGCTAGGCACCATCCACCTATACTAGATGCTGAACCAATAGCATGTGCCAAAGCTTTCTATAGGATGGTTGCTAGTGCAGATGAGTTGGTGCATGATAGAACCACACACTCACGCTTGTCTGTTGTAGCTCGCTTGTTTGCTGTGAAGTCACGGTACAACATGTCCATCGCAGAATATGATGATATACTAGGCATAGTACACGAACTCCTTCCTCCTGACTCTAAGTTACCTAATGACTTCTACCCGAAAATTATTAGAGGGTCTTGGTATGCAATATATCAAAATTGATGTTTGCTATAACAATTGCATGCTATTCTACAAAGATAACAAGGACAGAAAAATATGATTTTTGTGGTGCTAATCGGTATGTGGAAGGGTGAACAAAGGTTGCACACAAAGTTTTGCGCTATCTTCCAATCACAGATAGGCTGCAAAGGCTATATCTACATGGGGAGACAGCCAAGTTAATGAGATCATATAGTCCCACAACATGTGGTAAGATGGTGCACCCTTGTGACAGAGAGGCTTGGCAATAATTTAATGTGGACTATCTAGAATTTGCAGAGGAAAAAGAAATGTGCGTCTTGCAGTAGCAACAGATGGTTTCCATCCATTTGACGTGAATGCTATGCCTTACTCATGTTGGCCAGTCTTTGTGACCCCACTGAACCTACCTCCTGGTTTCTTCAATGTTATGCAACATCTCATCATACATCTGCCTTATGAAGCATGATTAGGTGGTCCTGTCCTAGCACGTTGGTGCTATCCATATGAGAGGTAAATCTAGAAATATTCAAATAACTAGTTTATTTATGTCACTCATCGTAAGTTAGCTATCTGTAATACGTTGCTCTCACTTCGTAGGTGTATCAAAAAACTTAGGAAAAAAGTAAGAAATAAGGCTCATGTTGAGGCTGGCATTGTTGGGTCATTTCTTGTTGAAGAGGCTGCAAATACACTAAGTCTTTATTTTAGATCCCATGCTCCATCTGTTAGAAATAAGGTGCCTCGCTACGATGATTGTGCATTTTCATTTCAAGGTACATGTGACCTTGACATTTTTAAATGCCCGAGTCGTTGCATGAGCCCTAGAGGCGTTCATGAACTCTCAAACAAGGAGTACAAGGTTGCTTTTTTATACATATTAACAAACATGCCAGAGATGGATGCTTTCTTCAAGTATGTTCTGCCAAAAATGTCATTACTGTTCTGTTATAGAGTTTTTATTATCTAGGCATAACAAGAATTTTGTTCATGTAGACACTTTGATAATGAACAGTGGAAGAGTCATATAGCTCCCACAGACCAGCAACGTCGTGATTTAAGGTTAAATGGTTGGAAAATAGCCGTGGTATACAATCCGGTCCAAATTTTTTTGATTGGTTCAAAGAGCAAGTAATTTTCTCATACACTTCAGCTTTTGTTCTGTTCCAACATTGTGAATTATGATAAAAAAAACTTATCACGTAATTTGTGTTTTTTTGTGCTTAAAATCAACTAGCATTCACAATGCTTTGTTCCAAATATCCTATGGTTACTGCCCTCGAGTTAGGTTCTATGGGTGTTATGATGTCAATGGCTATAGATTCCGTTCAAAGAAGTATGAGAGTGGAAGAGTAGTGTTGACAACTATCAATAGTGGTGTTTGTGTAACTTCTTTTGATGAATCAGACAATGCTTTAGAGTATTATGGAATCATAGAAGATATAATTAAAATTGAGTGGGAAGACAGCATGAAACTAGAGTTGGTGCTGTTTTATTGCTCCTGGTTTGATCCAACACCCAATGGATTAAGACGTACTGAAGATCTAGGCTTGGTAGAGATCAATCATACATTAAGATTATCAAATTTTGACCTATTTATGATGGCTAGTCAGGTTACTCAAGTGTACTATCTATCATACCCGTGTAAGAACAGGGAGTTGTCTCCATGGTGGGTTGTCTACCATGTTGCTCCACATGGATGTGTGCCTATGAATGAAAGCAATAGTGAAGCTATGAATATGGAAGGGGTAGTGCTGGATGTCTACCAAGCGGATGGTTTGGATGGCACCTTTGTTATTGATTTGAGTGATGCCTTTGACTCCATAATTGCAACGGGATCAGATGAGGTTACTGACCCAAAAGACTTGGAAGCAATACAGAAACAAGTTGTTCTAGATGAGTAATATGATGAAGAAGCTATTGAAGAAGAGGAAGAAATGAAAGACGATGATGAAGTAATGGATGAAGAAGATGAACAAACTTATGATCCAAATGATTTTTAAATATGCAGTCCAAAATATATGTTTTAGTTATGCATAAGATCCTATGTAACTATTTTTGAATATGCAGCGAACAGTCCAATATTATTAATATAGCAGTTTGCATGTGTGCTTCAGTATTACTAAATCTAAATTCATGTTGTTTTTCTCTCCAATCCTTTATCTAATGCAATATGCAGTCCAAATATATTTGAATATATGCAGTCCAGTATTTTTTGTGAATATGCAGCCAGCAGTCCATAATTATTAATATAGCAGTTTCCTAGTTTGCTGCTCCTCCAATATTTTGTTGTCTGATGCACTATTTGTTTTAAAATAGATCTAACATATTGTATCAACAGCAGATGGTATGTACACGCAAGGAAAAAGTCTACTTAACTCCCTCACCTTTCATACATGGTCTACTTCACCCCCCAACTATGAAACCGTATGTTTTACCCCTGAACTTTCCAAAACGTCTATTTTACCCCTGGGCGGTTTGCTACAGTAACAACGGGTTGCTACAGTACCGGTGTTTTTGAATTCCCTTTTTTTATTTATTTTCGGTGAATTTTTTAAAAAACATAGTAAATCATAGAAAAATCATAAAATGAAAAATCTAATTTTATTGGACTCCACATGAGTAGATCTACACAGTGAATATATAATACGGTATGCTTTAGTACAAAATTTTTACTGTAGCCTTAGATTAATTAGAAAATCTAATTTTGTCTGTAATTAATTGGAATAATTCATAGTTGCAGCTTTTATGGTTCAATTGTGGTGAAATTTTTTTGGTACGCTAATTATTGTATGCTTGAACTATAGTAAAAATTTCGTACTCATTGGACTATGTATAACTTAGTTATAGATAAATTCTAATTAATTACAGAAAAAATTGGATTTTCCAATTAATCTAAAGCTACAAAAAAAATTATACTAAAGCATACCGTATTATATATTCACTGTGTAGATCTACTCATGTGGAGTCCAATAAAATTAGATTTTTCATTTTATGATTTTTCTATGATTTACTATGATTTTTCAAAAATTCACCGAAAATAAATAAAAAAAAGAAATTCAAAGCCACCGGTACGGTAGCAAACCCGACGTTACTGTAATAAACCTGCTGTTACTGTAGCAAAACCACCACTGAAAACCGCCCGGGGGTAAAATAGACGGTTTTGAAAAGTTCAGGGGGTAAAACAGACGGTTTCATAGTTAGGGGGTAAAGTAGACCATGTATGAAAGGTGAGGGTTAAGTAGACTTTTTCCGTACACGCAACAAACGTGTACCCAGTTATCGTGCAGCCAAAAGGAACGATGGTTCTGAAAGTGCAGGCGGTTCCATGGTCCATTCCATTCGACACACACGCCGTGTAGCCAACAGCAATGCAGCCCAAACAAATGAAGGTTCTAGAACTGCAGGCGATGCCTCACAAACGACAACAGTTGTTGAAGCTCCCCCAATAGAGCCACCCAAAAAAGATGAAGGAAGCCAGGGTCTCGAACAAAATTTAAACAACCTCCATGTGGTGTTAAAGTGGCTCTTAAACCAAGTGGTGACGAGTGAGTGCATGCTAATCTTATTGGCTTATTAGTACTCTGTTTTACTAATTTCTGAAAGTATGTCAATATCTTGTTGTTCACAAAGGCAACAGAACATATGTACACTAGTTCAGTGTGTTGTTTAGTTTCAGGTTTGCACTATGCAATTTGATTGAGAGCAGTGGCTTGGCATGCAATGTTTTTATTTTGTGAAATGCCATTTCTTGCTATAGCAGCATCAACTTTCGGTTATTCCAATGCTAAACATTTCGGTTCTTTGGCTCCTGATCTATCACTGTCTCAGTTAAGTGTGCAGTTTTTTGTATCTACTAGTAGCTGCACATGATGTCCTTTTACTAGCATATGCACATAATCCTTGCAGCCAACCTTTTTGTGTTGACATGTTACTATATAATATTTATTTACAGACAATTTAGTTATATTTACTACCTGTCACCTTACAAATACACTACTCAGCTTGGGGTCATACTTAGAAGAGAATATCCAGGTGTGATTGTAGAGGTGGATGAGAACGGTGATGAATTCAAGCGCCCAGCTCTAGATTAGGCTGATTATTTCCATAAAATCCTGGTGCTAAGGGAATGACAAGGGGAGAAAATGTGGTTTCCAAATTTTGGGTAAGATGTTCAATCTAAAATTTCTGAGCAACATCTAAAACTTGAAATTTCTGAAATCTATACAATCTGAAACCTATGTTCATGGTTCTGTACACATGCAGCGTTTGTTCCAAGTTGCAGCAGGAGATCAGCAAGATGCGGACTGTGTTTTAGAAGGCCTTTTGAAGAAAAGGGTGAAGGACATGATGTATCAAGTCCGTGTGGATGCTGTCAAGCAGTACTACAGGGAAATAAAACACATAGAAATCAAAGATGCAATAGCATGCCATATTGACCTTGAGTATGAGCAATACAAGCAAGGAAAGCTCGAGTGGTTGAATGATGAGGTGTGGCTCCTCCTTTGTGCTTATTGGTGCTCAGATGACTACAAGGTAAAATGTAAGAGGGGGCAAACATCTCGCTCAAGTAATGAAGATATTGCTCAAAACCGAGGAGGATCTAGACCATTCATAGAGACACAACAAGTATTGGTATGCATGTGTATATTCTTTAATGTCTTTTTAGGAACTTAGTAGCCTATCATATATTCATATCTCATTTGAAAATTTACTATTTTTTAGGAAGCTAACTTTGGACCACAGAAAGCAACCCCTATTAATACTTTTGCTACGATGAAATCTGGCTTGAAAAGCCTAGATAGCAATGGTAGATGTGGTCCAATCAGTAGCCGCAAAGCACAAACACGAATGGTATGTATGTGATATCTCGTTATGAAAATTGACATGTGTGCTGAAAATTTCTGCTTGTACAGTTCTAGTGTGTATACTACTTCGAGTATATAAATGACATCTTTTGTGGAACTTCTTAATACAAAAATTGTAGATAATTCAAGTATCTTCATTGTCCTAAAATTTCATGACTTCAGGTCGTAAGGTTTGGGAGTTACAATTTTCTGAAGTTTCCTGTCAGGTTATATTCATATCTGTGCAGCAATGCTTCTTTGTGCTTTTTCACCCTGTTAACTTAAGAATCAGGTCTATGTTATAAATAGAAAGATGTGGAGAACTTCTTAAGCTTTCCAAAGTGTTAAAGAACATAATTTTCTGTGATCTAGAACTCTAGTTATGATTTATTTAAGTGACTATCTTGCTGCTGTCAAGAAAATTCAGAATACTTCGTTAGCATGTTTGGCTATTTGTACATCTGTAGATCATGTTTCCTTGATTTGGTCTTTGTAGGATGACTACCTTGCTGCTGTTAAGAGGATAGAATGTGTAAACGGAGAAGACGGAGATGCTGCAGACATGGAAGTGGATGGGCATGAGGTTGAGCAGCAGCAATATTTAAATGGGAAGGCGCTATATGATGTGTCTAGTGGTGGCCCGAGAAAGCACGGACGTCTTGCCATAGCAAATGGTGCGGTTAAGTCTTCAGATGTTAGGGCAGCCGGAAGGGAAAGAAGTGTGCGCCCATCAAATTCAATGACTATGCAAAACATGTCTTGTGAAATGGAACAGCTACGTCTTGCAAATGGAAGGCTAGAGCAAGAGAATCATGAAAAGGACAACGCACTTGAGCAAAATAAAGTTCTTGTAGACTTGGTACTGATATGTGCACTGCTCCTATAAATACTTCACTAATATTATATGTGAATTATCTAATGATTTGAATCTGAAATATATGTGCTTGCAATACACTTGTAGAAACTTTATCAGGACTTAGGAAGGGTTGTACTAGAAGAAGCGTTACAATGCTTGTCCGCTATGCAAGCAATTGTGAGTATATCTTCATTCCGCTATCAACATGTTTTGTAGCTGTCAGATCCATCACTTAGAGATTTTAATATGGAAAGGAAGTAGAAACTAATTAGTATTTTGTGGGGTACTATTCAGAATGGCAACACACAGTGCAGCAGTGAGGAAGTGGCCTCATGTTGATTGTTGTATAGCTACTGCAGTGAATTTGCATGGCTATTGCAGTGAGGAAGTGGCCTTATGTTGGTTTGTAATGTTTCACACCTTGAAAACTAGCAGTTTGAACACTTTACACCTTGTCCAATTCATGGTACCACATTCAAATGACTTCACATCAAATTTAGAGGCTTTGCTAAAAGTGTTATATTGTTGGAGGACAATTCCACTTACTATTGTAACTTTGTTCACATTCAGGCAACTGGTTGTTCTCATGCTGCCTCAGAATCTGCCAACAATGCTAATGATGTTGGACACACCAATGGGGATCTTCATGCTGCAAACGTTGGCAACAATCAAGGTTCCAACAACAATGGAGATCATGCATCGATAATGTGATGGTTGTGTTTAGTTGCAAAACATGGATGTGGTGGTGGTTTCTTCTTTTGTAGAGTTCTGCTTTTGCACATTAACTAGTATGTGGCTCTAATCTGTTAGCTTTAGTTTTATCTATAATATGACTCAATGATGCATGCTGGTATTTTATTCATCTTGGCTGAGACTTAAACTACTGAGTTGAGATGGTAATGCTTTTGAATGTATTGATGTCGGATCATTTGGACATCATCTATATGTAACCCGGATGCTATGAATGAATGTTCTAAACATTTGGATCTTTATACCTATGCTATTTATTATGTTGTGATGAAATTTCTGTATGGACAGTCCATATTTTAATATGTTGTTGCTATTGTTTCTATTTAATTATTGTATCCAATTTGCTACATGGGTAAGTGTATTTATTCTGTCGGTGGTCTGTTAACGCCCCACTGCGTTCACCTTTAACCGACAGAAAAATACAATTTTCCTGTGAGTGCTCCTCTGTAACTCTGTCGGGATAAACACATAGAAAAAATCATTTTTCTGTCGGTTTTTCTTTTTTCTGTGAGGATTAACACGCGAAAAAATTGTTTTTAATCTGGACGAACGCAATTTTTCCTATGCGTGTGAGACCCACAGAAAAATTGTTTCTGACGGCGAACCCACGGAAAAATTCAATTTTTCTGTCATTCTATTTCTGTGGGTTACCGTCAGAAAAATATTTTTCCGTGGGTATTCGCATTTTTCCATGGATTTTTGCACACACAGAAGAATTTGAGTTTCCAGTAGTGTTGACGAAATCACCATAGTATGGACATATCGTCTATTACTTAAAAACAATGTTGTTAAATATTAGAATAGACCTAAAAAATCTAAGCACCTAGGTCAAGTCGAGGACTTAGAGTTAGGGGGTGTTTGGATCCAGTGAATAAAGTTTAGGAGGTATTATATAGGGGTATCGCATGGGGTGTCCGGATAATAATAAAAAACAAATTATATAATCCATCAGTAATCTACGAGACGAATTTATTAAGCCTAACTAATCCGTCATTAGCACATGTTTATTGTAGCACAACATTGTCAAATCATGGACTAATTAGGCTTAAAAATTTCATCTCGCAAAACAATTTTAATCTATACATTTAGTTTCATAATTAGTCTATATTTAATACTTCATGCCTATGTCTAAACATCCGATGGGACAACGACTAAAGTTTAGGACGTAGAACCAAACACGCCCTTAGATTAGCAGGCACCCGAGCCAAGTTGAGAACTTAGATCTGGATAAGCAGGTTCTATCGCAAGGAATCTAACCAGCCGAGTCCGTGCCAGAAGCTGGTAGTCCACTTCATGAAGCTAGAGTCGCCAACTCATCGGCATCCTCGGGTTCATTGAAGGAGAGCGAAAGCAAGCTGATGAGTTGTGAGTTTGACCTTGTGTTTGCCGAGCTCGAGTGGAGGCGTGTACGGTTGTATTTGACGACAACCTTGGGGAGGTGACGAGTTAGGCCGCCATGCCTCTCCTACCTGGCGGAGCTCACTGGTGCCAGAGTAGCACACATCACTGGAGCTGCTTGGGCCGCCCGATTTGCGCACCATCCACCTCAGCAGCCAGTACTGCCTGATTCGCACCAGAGCAACATGGTTCGATTTGCCCACCCTATTCGCACCGCCTGCCGTAGCCGTGTTATATTCCATGGCCTGTCACACGGCTACAGAGACCTCCATTGACACGCAAGCCGCCATGGCCGGTCACTATCAAAGCTATGATGTAGCACATCTATACATGTAGTATAGGAGTCTGGGCTCGCCGACACAACTACAAGGAAGTGGTCGGCAAGAGAAGTAGAGGAGGCATGTCAATTTCCTTCAGCTTAGGCTAGCCCACTAGGGGCAACAACACCTACGGCATGCCAGTGATGGTATATGATGCTCGCGTTCTCCCGTTCTTGCGTCGCGTGGCTCAACTCAAAGCGTGGTGGAGGGAGATGACGGCATGAGAGAAGCGAGCAAGGAAGAGGCATTAGTGTGGGAGAGTATTGCCACCCTGGACATTGAGGATTGATGACGGCGGCTGACCGGCTATGGCGGCGGGTGAGAAGCCATGGCCCAAGCTCCCAATTAGAAATGTACCAAAGGACCTATTTGGAATTCTGGTTTTGTGTCCAAAAACTAGTGTAAAATACCAACCCACATATTTTCCAGGCTAGACCTAAAAACACTGTTTGGATGGCCTGTAGTGCAGACCGGTAGGTAGCCTTTACACCCAGGAAAAAAAATTGCCTCACCAGCCCACGATAAATATACTCGGGCTCCATCCTCACTGGTTGTCGTCCACCTCTTTGACTCTTCTTATGGCCGACTGCCATCAAGCTCACCCTTCCTCCATGAACTATGATTCCTTCTCTCCCTCTCCATCCTCTACATCTCGATTCCCCTCTTCAATTCACACATCCACGCAGTTACGGTACTGCTGGTCGGGATCTGATCTACATCGAGCCTGTGCAAGGGGAGACAAGGGTGTGACGGCAGGGTCATGGATGTTGCAGCGAATCAACACCGCAGGAGCAGTACAACTTTGATTCTACATGTCTAATGGAGCAGCGAGCCCCCACGGTCAGGACGATGAGGCTGGCAAGCTTGTCAAGAGCAATCGATCCCGCAGACCCACACAGACGGGGTGTCTCGGTCCGATGTTGGGAGCTGTTGCAAGTTTGCATCTCTATCACTGGAATCAGGGGTAGATAGTGGTAGTGGAGTTTGTTTGGTAGATATCGATCACCGGCAAGCCACCTGACGCCGCCACCGCCATGGCCACTGGCCGGGTTCAGATTACTGAGATGATCAAACTCAAGTTCGCTATCCCTCGTCTTCCACTTTTACAAGGCAACCGATGCCTGGCCTGTTACATGGGCTGCCATGGGCCGTCGGTCTTCATTTCCATTCTAGGCCAATCACTCTCCTATTGGGCTTCAACGCTCTTCTGGCTCACCCGCGCTCGTTAGCTCGAATGTCTTCTATTTGAGTGCTTTCTTCTCCAGCTTCAGTAGGTGCCACCCTTCCATGGTTGGTGACACCCTCACCTCCTTCAGAAATGGTTTGTCCCTAAGCCGGTGCTCGTGGATAAGCTTAACAAAGAGCATCCTCATCTTCCCAGGTGGATAGTGGAACTGGAAGATGGGACCATTGCACTAGAACTTGTGGCATTGTGTGTGTTGGATAGCGATGCAGTCTCTGATCCAAGATCTGAATAGGAACCTAAAGCTGTGAATGAGGGTTAGGGAGTTCAGTATGTACCTAGTGATGTGGAAGAACAGCATGTTTCAAACATGAAATACAGGATGGATAGGGCTAGTGGCAGGTAAGGCCAATCTATAAGCTACATAGCCAATCTTGTCGGTGATGATATAAGGCCCAAAATATCGAAATGCAAGCTTGTTTGATGATCTGGTTGCAATAGACGTTAGTACATATGGCTAAAGCTTCACATAAACAGAATCACCAACAGAGAATTCTCATAATGTTCTCTTTTGATCTGCATGATGTTTCATTTTGTTCTAGGCCCGAAGCAGATGTTGATGAACAAGCTACTGCATAAGATCTCATTCATTGAGCCGTTGTTGCAGATCAATATTTTTGCAAGTATCAGCTACATCAATACCCATTTGAGTAGGATCATGACCATAGAGCACCTTGAATGGAGTTTGACCCAGTGATGAATGGTAAGATGTGTTATCCTAGAATTCAGCAAATGGCAGCCAAGAAGACCATTTAGTTGGACAAGAGTGAACAAAGCATCTTAAGTAGGTTTCTAGGCATTGATTGACCCTTCCGTTTGTCCATCGGTTTGGGGGTGGTAAGCACTACTCATCTACAACTCTACCTTGAGCAGCTTAAAGAGTTCCTTCCAAACCTGGCTGGTGAATATTCTATCCCTATCTGAGATAAGAGCTTTGGGTAACCCATGCAATTTATAAATTTGTGTGATATAAAGCAGGGCTACTTGAAATGTTGTGTAGGGGTGAGATAGAGGGACAAAGTGGGCATATTTTGAAATTTTGTCAACCACTACCAAAATGTTATTATATTTGTGGGACCTGGGTAATCCCTCAATAAAGTTAAGAGAAACAGTTTGCCAAGCTCCACTAGGAATAGGTAGGGGTGCTAAGAACCCAGGATAAGCTGCTCTATCGTATTTTCCTTGCTGACAGATAGAACATTGAGACACATATTGTTGGACAACTTGTTTAAGTTGTGGCTAAGCAAACAACTGTTTTACTCGATGGTAAGTTGCTTCAATACCTGAATGTCCACCAGCAGGACTAGAGTGGAGAGCTTGCAGGATTTGTTGTTGAATGCTCTGTGAGGTTCCCACCCAAATTCTGGTCTTATAATATATAATGCCTTCCTTCAATGAAAAATGACCAGATGGAGACTTGACAGCCAATTCTTGTAGTAACTGACAGGATTTGGGATCTTGAGCATAAGAAGCTTGAAGATCAGCAAGCCAAGTTGGCTGGATAACAGATACTGCAACTAGCTCTTCTATGCCAGCATGTGAAGTTCTAGATAATGCATTAGCCTCTTTGTTTTCTTTACCTTTCTTGTGGACAATTTCATAATTAATCCCCAACAATTTTGTCAGTGCCTTGTGTTTCCAAGGAGTGTGCAGTCTTTGGTCATCCAAATGGATGAGACTATTCTGATCAGTCTTGATAGTGAACTCATACTATAATAGATAAGGTCTCTAATAGTCCACTGCTCAAAGAATGGCCATGCACTCTTTTCATAGGTTGATAAAGCTTGTGCCTTGGGACCCAGAGCCTTGCTGACAAATGCTATTGGATGTCCATCAGGTTGGAGTACAGCACCAATTCCTTTATCTGAAGCATTAGTTTCAATAATGAAGGCTTTGGTGAAATTTGGTAGAGCAAGAACAGAACTGGTAATTAAGGCCTTTTTGAGGGTTTCAAAAGAATTTTGATGGTCTTGAGTCCAAACATACAACTCCCCCTTTCT